TTGAGGTTTCGTTTGTCTCTAATAATTAATTCCACAATTTCAGAGTGAACTATTGGAAAATTACTCTAATCAATGACAAATGCTCCACTCCAAAAAAAAAAAAAAAAAAAAGACAACACTCTTATGAAGTTGGCTCTTAAGAAGAAAACAGAAATAAAGACAAAAAGAATGAGAAAAATGAGAAATATTTTCTCCTTCAATGTCAAGCATGCTTCACTGTAATACTGGAGGTTTGGAAAACATTGATTTATATCTGTTAGCCAGTATCCCTGGTGCTGCCCACCCAATGATCTATCGCCTAGTATTGACAATCTGTATAGTTCCCTTTTTCATTGCACCAAAGTTAGTCTATGTGACCAATAGAATGAGAAAGAAATCATGGTATGTCACTACCTACTTTAGGTTATTAAATATTATATAGAGTTCATTTGTCTCCCATACAAATGCACTCATTAAAAAATGTGACGCCATATTATGAGAAATCCCATGGAGTGGACAACATGACTAGGGACAGAGATCACTAAGCAGCAGCCGTCAAGGAACTAAATCTGGCCAAGCACCATGCAAGTGCTCCCGTAGGTAGATCCTCCACCATGAATCAAGCTTTCAGATAGCTGCCATCCTGGCCAACATCTTGTCTGGAGCTTCTGAGAGATCTTGATCTAAAAGCACCCAGGCAAGCTGCTCTGAACATCCTAAATCTCAGAAACTATGCACTTGTGTTTTGCTTTATAAGCTACGATTTGATGAAGTGTGTTACCCAGCAATAGATAATAAATAAACAAAATAAAATAGCTCATTTTAAAAATATTTTACTTATTTATTTTTTAATCAATCCTTACACCCAATGTGGGACTTGAATTCACAACCCTGAGATCAAGATACACATGCTCCATCAACTGAGCCAGCCATGTGCCTCTGAAATAGCTCTATATAACAAAAAGATGGCATAATTTAAAAGCTGGGGAAGCTAAGTATGTACTGAAGAAATTTGGAAAGGCATCACAAATAATAACACTTAAATAACATTTGATTTAATGGAAGGTATTTAGATGCATAAAGCATAGGAAAGCACTTAAGTGAAAAAAACAATTTGGACAATTTTATGTCAGTGGGAATAAATATTTTTATTCTGCTTTCCAATTGATGCTTTTGATCTCACCACAGTCTACTGGTTCTGCAATTTGTTACCAGTTTAATCCCAAATACTTTTAATTTGTATAGATCTTATGCTTTTTGACATGGGCATCATGGCCCACTGTATACATATAGTAGAGTAAGTTCTATTTGGGCAAAAAGGACAATAGGTTCATTTCGTCCATGATCCAAGCTCCTATGCCCTCCAATATGGCCATTCTACCAATACAATTAAAGTTTTGGGGTTTAATTTTTTTTCCTGTGTATCAATTGATTAACTTATAAGTTCTACTGAGAATTCTGTTATAAAAAGGTGTTTTGGGGGGCGCCTGAGTGGCTCAGTACGACTTCACCTCAGGTCATGATCTCACAGTTCATGAGTTCAAGCCCCACATCGAGCTCTTTGCTGACAGCTCAGAGCCTGGAGCCTGCTTCAGATTCTGTGTCTCCCTCTCTCTCTGCTCGTCTCCTGCTCACGCTGTCTCTCTCTCTCAGAAATAAAGAAAACATTAAAAAAAAAGGTGTTTTGGTTATGTATGAACAGTGATTCTTCATACGATAACCAAGGGGTCTTGCATTTTGTGAGCCTTCTGCAAATCCATGAATTGTCCATTTTCTTGATCTAGCATCTTCTTCTTTTTTCTTCTTTTAATGTTTATTTGTTTTTGAGAGAAAGAAAGTGTGAGTGTGAGCGGGGGAGAAGCAGAGAGAGATGGGGACAGAGTATCCAAAGCAGGCTCTGTACTGACAGCAGAAAGCCTGATGTAGGGCTCAAAATCACAAACTCTGAGATCATGACCTGAGCTGAAGTCAGATGTTTACCTGACTGAGCCACCCAGGAGCCCCTTGATCTGGCATCTTCTTAGTCAAACGTTTTACCTTCAAGAAGGTTTATGTATTTTTCACCCATTAATGCCAAATATCTACTATTTTTTTTAACTCTGTTTCCTAACATTTGTCCAGGACTATGTCTGTCATCCTGCTTATAAATACCAGTGCATACCCATATTTGAAATATGGTCAAGATACCAAATTTATAAAGTAAACATAAGTGACCAATCCCATTCATGAAAATAGTCTGTAAATATTAGTTTTTTTCATACATTTAACATAGACATATAGACAAAGAGATGAAATTCAAAGTCACATATACTTAATAACTGGAATTGTTAAGTTAGCTTTTCCTCATTTAAGCAGCACCTAATTGTTTTCTCTCCCCCTTCCTCACCCTTCCCTATACCCAGCACATATTCATAAAGCTAACAAGGTTCCTCAGGGATTGGGACCTAATTATTTGTTAATATATTGAAATGCAGCTATGTATTAACTGCTCTAAACTCTACAAATGCGCAGGACTTACATTTATTTCCACATCATCTTACCCAATCCCCTACCATACTTCAGAAGAGGAAACCATCAGCAAAGGTGGTTTAAATGTGAACCAGAGAAAAGGGAGTCCAGAGATCACGGACTCCAGTGACAGCTAGGGCAGATTCCTCTTTTAAATGAAGTATATGCAAAGAATGGCAAAATCAGGACCTTGAGACACTCCTGAATAATGAAATATAGGTGAACTGGACTAATTCAGGAATAGATCTTAGCATATTTTTTATCCCTTCTCCTTGAAGGCTAAGTTATCAACTTTATGAAATGTATTTAACTAGAAGTCAAGGCAGACTACAATCTCCAAATGGTAAATTCCTTCCTATAATTTACTTTATTTTTTAATTGTGTTTATTTATTTTGAGAGACAAAGGAGCAGGGAGAGAGTGGGAGAGATTGTATCCCAAGGAGGTTCTGCACCATCAGCATGGAGCCTGAGATGGGGCTGTCTCAGGAAGCTGAGATCATGACCTGAGCAGAAATCAAGTGCTGGACGCTTAACCTACTGAGCCACGCGGATGCCCCTCCTTTCTAGAGTCTAGATATGTTTTTCTGAATTCCCTCCCTTTTGTAAGGATGTGACCACATATTATAATTTTGTTGTGTATAATCTTGAGAAAGGGATGAAAAATATATGATATTGCCATTTCTAGAAATGTCATTGCTTGTATTTGTGAATGAATGCCTATGAGTGATGCAGTGGAAAAGGCAATAGTGATAATGTAGTTATATTACTGTTAATCTAAGTAGTATAAATTTCTAATAGTAAGGAAAGCTCTGTGTTAAGAGTGTGAATCAAAATTACGGCCCCTTGCTTGACTCATAGTCAAACCTTATCTAGCTGTGTATACTTGGTAAGGGATTATATTCTCTGAAGTACAGTTTTTTTCATTATAGAATGAAGATAAACCTAAAACTCATCCCATAAGGTCACTGCATAATTCAGATGACATAATCCAAATAAAACATTTACAACACTGTCCAAAGTAGAAAAACACAACTGTTAGATATGCTTCTATATCACTAATATTGTCCTTACATGTCAAAATGAAGTGGTGCCTCAATAACTAATTTACCTTATTATACCGTGATTCCTTATCAGGTTATAAATTTCAACATTTAAAAACACAATTTGGAGGAAGCAAGGGGGAATACATGAAAATACAGTCAGTGGGTATCGGGGTGTGCTGGTGCAGTATACAGTCTATATTCACACAACTCTAAGAAGAGAATATTGAGTTTATTAAGAAAAAAAGAATAAATTTTTGCACATTATTTTGAAGAGACTGGATTGCACATTATTTGAGGTAGAAAGCTTTTATTACTTCCTGAAATTCAGTACTTTAAAAATGTAAAGTAGTAAAGATTAGGATAAATGGAATATCTTATTCCTCATGCTATGAGCATGTATTTGTGTCTTGGTGTTGGATATTGGATTGAAAATAGGTCTAAACTAATATGTACCTGCATTTTTCTCTAAATCTCAAAGCATACACAACATATCCTTATACATGAACAAATGTGTGTGTCTGAATGAGTCTCTAACCTCTAAATGGAAAGATGAACAGTGGCAAACATGGGGATTACATATTATCAGAATTGTCTGAGTTCTACATCCATCTTTGCCACTTATTTATCTTGCAAATTTAACAAATTCATTAAAGTCCTCTGACTTCACATGTGACTTCCTAAAATGGCTGCCTCATTTTTCTATAATAATCATTTTAACAAATTATGCGAGTTCCTTTTAAGGGCTCATATAACCTAAACAAGGAAATATGTTGAATAGCCATCTCTTCTTTAAAAAAAAACAAAACCTTCATTTTAGGGGCACCTGGGTGGCTCAGTCAGTTAAGCGTCCTGCTCGGCTCAGGTCATGATCTCACGGTTTGTGGGTTCGAGCCCCGCGTCGGGCTCTGTGCTAACAGCTAGCTCAAAGCCTGGATACTGTTTCAGATTCTGTGTCTCCCTCTCTCTCTGACCCTCCCCTGCTCACGCTGCCTCTCTCTCACTCTCAGAAATAAATAAAACATTAAATTTTTTTTAAAAAACCCTCATTTTATATTTTAGCAAGATTACTCAGGATCAATATAAAATATTTTATTCAATATTTGTGTATGTTTGCATGTTTGTGTACATACACATGTGTGCATATGCACATTTGTGTCTGTGTTTATGTATATTTTGGAATTAAAATGTGAATTTGTTTATTCTAATATATCAGTAGAGGAGAATTTGTTTTATTCTAGTGTATATGATCACATTTTTCAAATTTCAGTTAAAATGTGTTTTCAGAAAGAGAGAGACAGAGACAGAGAGAGAGAGAGAGAGAGGAGAATTCAGTCTGGCAAATTACTGAACACAGTCTCCTGAATAGCACTTTAGTAATGTTAAAGAATTAGTGTGTCTTTGATATTTATCTATGGTTCATTGCCCTTAAGGAACATTTTTTTTCTCCCTGATTATTATAGGCACTCAACATGGCTCAGGAAAATTCCAGCACCATCACCGAATTGGTCCTTGTTGGATTTTCTAATCACCCCAAAACTGAGATGCCCTTCTTCTTCCTCTTCTCTGTGGTCTATCTGGTCAATCTCTTTGGAAACACAGTTCTTATCATTTTAGTGGTAATTGATTCCTGTCTCCAGACACCCATGTATTTTTTCCTCTGCCACTTGGCCTTTCTGAATATATTTTACACCACAACTGTCGTCCCCAAGATGCTCTTCAACCTCCTTGCTCCTAAGAAAGTTATCTCTTATGATCTCTGTCTTGCTCAGACCTACATCTCCCTGCTAATGGGAGCAGCTGAATGCATTATTTTGGCAATCATGGCTCTGGACCGTTATGTGGCCATTTGTTACCCTCTGCGATACCTGCTCATCATGAACTGGTCTATGTGTGTACAGCTTGCTGTGGGAGCATGGACCATCAGCTTCTTTGCCTCAGTGGTGCCCCTCTACTTCACCATGCTTCCCTTATGTGGCCCTTATATTGTTGACCATATTTTTTGTGAAGTACCTGTTCTTCTTCATATGTTCTGTGCTGATACATCCCTGCAGGAGACAATGATGGTGATAGGTGCATGTGGTACCCTCTTGCTCCCCTTCCTCCTTATTACCCTCTCCTACCTACGCATACTGGTTGCTGTGATGAGGATGCAGTCAGCAGAAGGCAGGAAAAAGGCTTTCTCTACGTGCAGCTCTCATCTGACTGTGGTGACCATTTATTATGGGACAGGTATGTTCATGTACATGAGACCCAAATCTCTATATTCAGCTGAAGGTGATAAATTGATCTCTTTGTTCTATGCTGTCATCAATCCTGCTTTGAATCCACTAATCTATAGTCTGAGGAACAAGGAAGTGAAAGGAGCCTTGAAGAGACTTTTAGAGAGATCGACAATGTCCCAAATTCAAAAGATACTCTCCTGAAATCTGAGTAAAGAGAATTTGCATTTACATTCTTTATTCCCTGTGACATAATGGGCTACAAATACATGTCAAAATTATCAAAAATATATGATTACCTCTCTCTGACAGCACTGTGCTGTGACTCTTCATGACAAAAGGTAATGGCTTATATTCTTTTATTGAATATTTCTGCATATTAGTAATTTAATCTTAACAATAGGAAAGAACATCTGATGAGAAAAATGTAATTGAGATATCATGCCAGGTTTCTGACTCCATAATTTCACATGGCCTCATTTAATTATTTCCCCTTATAATATTTTTTAAACTTATTTCAGAGAGAGAAAGAGCAGGGGAGAGTCATAGGGAGAGGGAGACACAGAATCTGTAACAGGCTGCAGGCTCTGAGCCGTCAGCACAGAGCCCGACACGGGGCTCGAACCCACAAACCATGAGATCATGACCTGAGCTGAAGTCAGATGTTTAACTGACTGAGCCACTCAGGAGCCCCTTTCCCCTATAATATTAAATGTTCTTATTTTCTTTATTAATGAAGTATCATAGCACCTTCCTTGCTATGTGCATGTATTCCATTTATGTCTACTGAAAACATCATTTTCACTATGGGAAGAAACTTTTTTGTAACTTTGTAAGTATAATCAATATAAGCAAATAATGAAACTTAGGAGTGTTGTGCCCGAATTGCGAGACCCAGAGACCTCCAAGGAGCCAGCACTGATGCAAATACAAAAGGGTCTTTATTACAAGCTCGAGCAGGGGCTCACCCGCCGCCTACTGGTGTAGTGCAGCCCGAGGTTACTCTTAATGGAGGCCTTAATTTCAGGCTCTTCAGGAGGAACAAAGTATTTAACAGTTCTCACCTAATTGTTTCTCAAATATTATGATATATGAGCCAGCTCTTCATCTCTGAATTGATAAATGCTTCCATAAAATATAGTGTTTTCAAAATGTCACTACACCCCCTCAAGCTCGTACTTTTACTCAATTAATGCCTTTGTCACACATGTGTTTTATTTCTGTATTGCAAACCTCAATTCAATTGCCACTTTTTTCAAGAAAAATTTTCCTAAAAAGTAACTCTTCTTACCTTACTATGAATTCTCCTTTCTTTGACCAAGGACTTTAAACAACAGCTTGTTTCAATGCACATTTTATTTTGTTGATTTTCCACATGTTTTTCAACAGTCATGGAATAATCTATTTGGACTGTACACGAAAAAGTCTTTCCTCCCAGAAACCGCAAAACCTAATGCCAGAGAAAGTGCATGCTGACATTTAACTGAACTTCAAGAAATTCTTCTTTTTAAAGCTGAGTTATGAAGAATGAGAATTCACCACAAGCACATGTCAAAGAGAAATTTCAGATGGAAATTCAGTATGGGATAAAAAAAAAGGCATCAAAAGTTAATTCTAAATAATTCAGTGTGGTTTGGCTGGATTCCACACTATCCTCAAGGTATAAATGCGTTTTTCTTTTTTCTGATAATAAATAGAAGAATCTCTTACCATTTTTTTACTCCCCTTAATGTCCATTGCCTTATATACACTTTATTTGTTGAATTTAATCATATTACTTTATACCTATTTTAAATATATATATATATATATATAATTGATGGCTTTTCTGGTTTTCTTACTTTTGAATGCCGTATCATATCATTTCATTTAATTTTTATTCTTTATTCAATATTATATACCTTTCATTTTCTATTAATGTGGAGAGTGTGGCATTTTTGACAAACAAGAGATTACGGTTAGAGCAGCTAATACCATATACGAGTGTCATTTATGCCCCATTTCCTTTATATGAAATTTAAAAGAAAATATTTATCATATGACTTGTTAAGAGGGTTACAAGAAATGTGGCTTGTGCATAAAATTTTAATAGATCTTTAGGAAATTAAATGTCTTTCTCTTCCACAAGACTACAAATTTTCAAAGTATTTATTTTTGCTTTTTTAAGCCATGTGTTGCATCATAAATATTTTTTAGCAACATCTACAGCATTACTGTCAATAATTCATAATCTAAGTATATTGAGATGCCCCAATCCTTGTGTCCATGGGAGTGAGTTTGTTGTGTGTTGCAATGTAACTCTTGTCTGGTAGTTCATGACTATTAACATTGTCTCTACACTGTGCACTAGTTGGCTCCATAGGACAAGCAGTTAACCAACTGATGACCCTGAAATAAGGTAAATTTTCCATGACCTCTCTCTTCCAATTCTGTGAAAGTTCCTAGGGATTCGTGAGCATAATTCTAACTTTTAATAAGTACATTCTACTCTGAGAGCAAATATTGATAATAAAGTGAGGTTTGAGGTGAACGATGTAAGTTACTTCCTATGAGGATCAATATAGTTACTGATTAAACAGTAAGGTTTCATTTTTCTAAATTTTTGTAATGTTTTATTTACTTCTGTGAGAGAGAGACAGCACGAGCAGGGGAGGGTGAGAGAGAGAGGGAGACACAGAATCTGAAACAGGCCCCAGGCTCTGAGCTGTCAGCACAGAGCCCGACGCGGGGCTCAAACCCACCAACCTTGAGATCATGACCTGAGCGGACGCTTAAGCAGTGAGAGACCCAGGTGCCCCTAAACACTGAGGTTTTAAAAGGGGTGTAATTATGTGAGGTAAAGTATGATGTTAACCAACCTTACTGTGGTAGATGTTTTGCTATATATATCAGATAATCACACTATACACCTTAAGCTGACACAAAATTTTATGTCAGTTATATCTCAGTAAAACTGTAAAAAGCGGGTCTTCTACGTGTTTCAGCTGTTAAGCATCGGACTTTGGCTCAGGTTATGATCTTATGGTCGTGAGTTCAAGTTGTGAATTCCAGCCCTGTGTGGGGCTCTGTGCTGACAGCTCAGAGCCTGGAGCTGCTTCAGATTCTGTGTCTCCCTCTCTCTCTACCCCTCCTGCACCTACATACTCTCTCTCTCTTTCCCTCTCTCTCTCTCTTCTCTCTCAAAAATAAACACTAAAAGAAAGTTTAAAAAATTTTTCAAAGCTGCAAAAAGCAAACCACCACCACCACCACCACCAAGACACCTAGAATAACTCTTGCAAAAATAATCCTAAAACATGTGAATGGACCCCAGAATATTAAAATGCACATATCTACACACACACATACACACACACAAATACATACACACCTCACATATTGGAAGAGAAGACTTGTCAATTCCAGGAGAATGATATATTTTTGTTTTAACTTATGTTTATTGAGATGTAATTGAAAAATTATTTATTTAATGATTGTAATGTGATGAATTGATGTATGCCTATGTTGTGAAATAATTATCACAATCAAGATAATTACTATTTCATCGTCACATAATTAACATTTTGCAGAACAATACACAGAAGCAAAATGTGTGTTTTGGTGAAGAATGGTTAATATCCACTGTCCTAACAAATATCAATTATACAATATAGTATTCTTAACTATATTATTTGTGTTGTACAATAGATTGTCAGAATTTAATGATCTAATTACAATAAATTTGTATCTTTTGACCAGTATCTCCTCATTTCCCCCACCTCTTGCTCCTGACCACCACCATTCTACTCTCAGGTTTGATTTTACTTTTTTGTTTTTGTTTTTGATTTTTGATTCTGCATGTTAGTGATACCATACTGTATTTTTTGTCTTTCACTGTCTTACTTTACTGAATGAAATGTCTTCCCAGTTTATCCAGGTTTCCAAAATTACAAACTTTTTTTCCTTCTACATAGAAGAATAATATTTTTAACTTATGTATTTATAACCATTCTTGCTTTCCAGAGATAAATTTTAATTGATCATGGTATGTGATTGTTCCATATGCTGTGGAATTCCATTTGCTCATATTTTTTGGAGTATACCACATCTATTTTCATCAAGGATATTAACTTATAATTCCTCTTCTAGTTGATTCTTCTTTGGTTTTGATATAAAGACAATACAATGAATTTTAAAGTATTTCTTCATTTTCAATAGTTAGGAATAGTTGGAGAAGGACTGATATTAATTATTCTTGACTTGTTTGGTAGAATTCACTAGTGAATCTATCTGTTCTTGGGCTTTTGTTGTTAGGAGATTTTTGATTACTGATTCAATCTTTTTTACTAGTCATCTGCTCAGCTTTCCAATTCCTCATGATTCAATCTTGGTAGGTTATGCATTTCTATGAGTTTATCTTATTCTTATAGGTTATCTAATTTGTTGGCATATAACTATCCCTACTTTTGTGTATCTGCCGTATTGGTTTTAACATCGCCTCTTTCATTTCTGATTTTACTTATTTGCATATTCTCACTTTTTTTAGTGTAGCTAAAGTTTTGTCAATTTTTTTTCTAGTGCTTTTCTAGTCTCCACTTTATTTCTTCTCAGTTATCTCATTCTTTGTGGTAACTTTGGTCTAATGTGCTCATATTCTAGTTTCTTGAGTCATAAATCAGGTGGTTTATTCGAGACCTCTCTCCATGGTGGTGACATTAGTGTCTGTTGGGTGGATGCCAGTGGAGTAGCCACAGAGCTGGCATTGGAGCATGGGTGCTCACGTGTGACAACCGCTCTGGATTCTGGGGCACTGGCTAGCTTGTCATGGCATTGGTCCTGTTGCCTGAAACATGGGCACATGAGGAACAGCGTGGAGCTGGCATCTGGAGGACGGGTACGTAGGGAAGTGTACAGAGCCAGAGTTTGGCTCTCAAGCACACATGGATGAGCTATGACTCCGAGGTTCAGGGGATCCACAGGGCAGGTAGGGGCATTCTCAGCCTTGGTCCCATGGCGACACAATAGTAGTTCCTTCTGGGATGATGGAGCAGAGCTGTGTCTCCCAGCAATGACTGCTGGTTACCTTAGCGGTAAGACTGTCTATGTCCTCTGCAAAGGCAGGCAACTGGGTCTGTGATGACAGACACTGCAGGGTCCCCATGTTATGGAAGTTGTGGGGAGTCTGTAGCTGTTGTGTGGCTGGTGGAGTCCACAACAGCCAAGGC